GGATAATGACTTCTGGATGGAGGATGTTGCAGCTGGTCATCAAGACTTCGGTGCCTACTTCACATGGCTTCAAGCATTTCTGGATTGAGCCATCAACACTGGGTTCACTCTGTCAGTCAACAAGTGTTGCTTCCTCCATCAAGACATTACATTCTGTGGCCAACTAGTTGGAAGGCATGGTATCCATATTGGTCCTGGCCACCTCCGAGCTATAGTGGACTGGCCAAGGCCAGGCACAGTCCAAGAGCTCATGGTCTTCTGGGGTGTATGCTCATACCTGCGATCCAGGATATCGAGCTTTACTAAGATCTTTGCACCCCTTGATGAACTTACTCAGCACATAGATGACCATGATCAAGACATTTGTGAGGCCTGGACTAGCAAGCATGAGGCCGCCTTCCTATGAGTCAAGCAGGCGTTAGTCAGCTCTGGAGTCCTTAAGGAGCCGAGATACGACCGACCCTTTGTTGTGCAGAGTGACTGGAGTGCAGAAGGTATGGGGGCTGTGCTGCTGCAGGAATATGAGGTTTACAAGGATGCATCAGGACAATGGCAATTAGACATTGATAGCATGTATGGGGAACAGGAGCACCCATGTAAGAAGATTGCTTTCCCAATTGCTTATGCTAGCCGCAAGTGTCTTCCTTCAGAAAGCTGCTACTCTGCCCATCTTGGAGAGCTGGCTGCAGCTAAGTTCACCCTCGACAAGTTTGCCTCCTTCACATTCAGCCAACTGATCATCCTCGTCACCAATTGCACTGTGCTTAGAGACATCTTAAGATCCGAGAAGATGCCTGCAGCTCATGCCTGATGGAGAGAACAGCTGCTGGCACACAATGTCATCAAGGTACACCACTGTGCCAGACATAGGCATCTGCTCGCTCACGGTTTGTCACATCAAAAGAGTGCATCAGTGGACGAATCACAGGAACCATTAGAAGATGCAAGATACACATTTGTTGGAGCCATCAGTGCCGATGATCTAGCAAGCAAGTCACAGTCCCTGGCCCAGCGATACGTTGAGCTCGATCCACAAGCATCCAAACTCCTTAAATGATTCAAAGGAGACGAGCTCGAGCCATTGCTCTGCCTCCTCCTCCTCCTCAAGCCACTGACGCCACAGCAACAGCAAGTGAGGCTCCATCATCAAGCCTCATATGTACTCCATGAGGGAGAACTCAGCTATGTTCAGGACAAACAGATTCTTCGAGTACTACCACACAAGGAAGCCCATCCATACATCCTCTCCATCCACGACCATAGCCATGCAGGCATTGCCATCATGATCAACATACTTCGATTGCAAGAGGGTGTTACATGGCCAGGCATGTGGAAGGACATTCGGGATGTCATACACTGCTGCCAAACATGTCAACAGTTTGGTCCTAGGCTCACAAGCACAATCAATCCAGTAGTCATCTTCTCTCTGATGCAAGTATGGGCAATGGACTTCGTTAGCCTTTCTACCTCCCATGGCCAGAGCAAAGTCCTTGTCATAGTCGATTATTTCAGCTGATTCATGTGGGCGTCTGCAAGCTAACAACAACAAGCGAGAGATGTAGTATCAGTTCTTGAGGAGCTTTGAGACCAGCTCGGTGGTTTGCCAGCTCACATAGTGACGGATGGTGCATCTCATTTTGATTGCTCAGAGGTCGCCGAGTTCTTGGACCGAGAAGAAGTTGAACATCACATTGTTTCAGCTTATGCGCCCTGGGTCAATGGCCTGGTCGAACTACATAATGGCCTTCTAGTTCAGACACTGCGCAAGTTAGTCGCCACACCACTGGCTATGGAGTATTCGGTAACCACACTGCCATGGTCACCTTATTTGGGACAGGCCATACGGGAGCTCAATCATAGACCAATCAAGGGGATGTCATGATGGTTGCCAGTCGAGTTGCATTATGGCTTCACCATCCGAGATGCCAAAACATCAGTGGCAACACGAGAAGCCGATCAGTATGCGGTCTGTTGCCTGCGAGCCTTTGTCAATGTCATGAGGGTCAAAGCCTCGTCAGCCCTTGAGGAGACACAAGCCAAATGAGTCCTGCAAAGTGAGCCATGGAGATCATCTAAGTTGTACAAGCCTGGAGGTCTGGTGCTGCAACACCAAACTCAGCTTGAATCCACTTACTCCACACAAGCAAAGATGGCCCCTTGCTGGATAGGACCATTTGTTGTCCTCAAGCGCCTTAAAAAGACATACCTCATCTGCAATCTGATGACAGGTCAAGATGAGTGAACTCATCAGGACCACCTCAAGCCATATTGGCCGCAAACAGAATAGAATGGCAATTGAGTCATAGATCACAGGATTGACATCTTATGCTCAATAGCTGATCGCTTCAATTAGTTCGTTTAGTACTTCGTTCTTGGTGATGGAGTCTCTGGGACGTAGCCTTGTTCTGTTCAGGGCTCTGTCACCGACCTCCATACACATTACATCTCGTCCGATAGGTTGCTTTGCTGAGTTTCGTGTCTTGATCATGGTTTTTGCAGTCACTTGTTGATTAGAGCTTTCTCGGGCGAGAGGTCTCTTATTTTTGTCAAAGAAGGCTCAGTTGCACTCACATGTACTTAGCTCATTGCCACCATCTCAAAGCAAAGAAACCCAGCATTGCTGCCATCTCAAAGCCAAAACCAATAGCATTGCCACCATCCATTTGTAGCATAAATTCAGCACCACGTAAGCCAGCCTTATCTTTTAGCATTGTAGCTGCCCTTTGAGCTTCGCCGTTTATCCTTTGACACCGTATGATTTCATCGCGTTTTTGGAAACCCGCTTTTCCTTAAAAGGGGTGTTCAACTTTCCTCCAAAAACGAGCTTTTCAAAAACCCGCGTTTTTAAAAACGCAAAAACTCTGATACCCCCTTTCGTGTTTCGCAAAATGATGCCGGTGTCGTGACCAAGCGCAGCTTGATGTGCTTCCGTCGCAAAGGGGTGGTGTAGGCGGAGGAAGGGGTTGGAACGAGGGAGTGTGTGAGGTGCAGCCAGCCGCATCTCTTGAATGAGCACAATGTCGGCCTTGCCCACTGGGGTTGGTCTGTTGTGTAAGGCCGCGATCCGGTCAGGAGCATTGAGGGTAGCACAATTCCAAGTGGCAATTGTGATTGTGCTCGCTTGGCGGAGGCCTGCCAATCTAGTAGTTGAGGTTGTTAGCCCCGCGAGCAGCCTCAGCCTCCTGCTGGCGAGAGATATCGTCGTCAGTATCGTCAATGGGGAAGTCGGCAGTGCAAACGGCAGCACTGTGTCCGGTCTCTTGGCATCTGAAACATTTGCGGCGGGGGCAGTCTTCGAAGGTGTGCAATCGGCCTGTATTACCGCGGCAGGTTGGGCACCACTGGAGTCGGCCCATGTAGACCAACTTGCAGTCAGAGTTGCCATTGCGCAAGAAACCTGGGATGGCATGGAGCTTTGTAGGGTCGAGCCCTCCATCGCTTCCTCTGGGTGTGGAGACCAGGGCCACCAGTCGGTTAGTGTCAGCAGGAGGGGTCGGATCGTTGGCATAGGAGGTCTGGGCAACCCAGACATCGTGTACTTGCACATAGTTGCGCAAGGAGGTTGCAATGTACCGTGCAGTCTCGAGACTGGCGTGAGCGTGGGGTACACCCAGAATCTCGATAACAAGGTAGTTGAGCGGAATGGCAGAGCCGACAAAAAGGCGCTGGGGTCTGGCCCCGTTGAAAACCAAGGGCACATCGCTGAGCGTGGCCAACTGAGTGTCAGGAACTGTGATCTTGACATAGCGGCCACGGCCAACACCTCGGGGGAAGTTGACCAAGCAGTCAGGCTGGCGGATACCCTTGGCTTCAAGGTAACGGCGAGCCTGAACTAGGAGCGAGCCACGGGCAATGCCCTCCTCGCGGTTGAGGTTGAACCTGCCAGTGAACTGCCAGCGGATAGTACAGGGGGGCAGCTTAGCGCGGTCAGACTTGGGAAGGGGAAGCTCCTCAAATGCAACCACGTGGCTGCGGGTAGCGGAACAGACATGGTTGCCAGTGTAGATGGGCATGAAGTCATCCTTGTGTGGTTCCCCACGGCGTCATCTTCAATGGGTTGTTCATCAAGCGATATCGTTGTTGCCAGCAGTTCTGGCATCGCTTTGGTCGGCTGCTGCAACGGTAACAGCGGCGGCGGTAGCATTGGCATTAGCGGCAGCATTGGCGTTGGCGGCGGCGATGATGCTGTGGTCGGTGGTACGAGGGGTAGGCATTGCTTCTGAGGTGGTAGGAAATGCGAGTATAAGCTAAAAGCCGTGACTATAGGATGTTGGTATGACCACAGACAGCTTCCATTGATGCACAAAGGACGACCACCCTCTAGCCTGCTTTGTGAGAGCGGATGGGCAAGAGTGAGTGGGGATCGACTGACAGGCACTGAAAAGGGGCAGACACTGGAATCGGCATAGTGTTTGGGCCCCCAATCGGGGTGACACCATTGTTCTACCTCCGTGTTGCACAAACGCGGCTGGCTCCGCCAGGAAGGCCAGGCATCGCCATCAGGCAATGGCTGCTGCCGCTTGGCTGATGGGACGAAGAACTCTCCTATTAAAGGTCGATGAATCCAGTGCTGGTTTTGCCCTAGCATATCTGCCGAGGCTCCCCGGCGTCGCTCGGAGGGCGCAGTGTGCGAAAAACGCGGTTCTTTGATGTGAGGCTGCATAAAATGGGTGCTGAAAGTCTGCGAATGAAGACTGGTGCCGAAGGGTTGGTATTTGGCGCTTTGCATGCTATGTGTGACGGCTTGTTGGATTGGGTTCACCATGTTCGCATGCGCTAGATCCAGACGGAGGGTTTGGAGGGTGTCGCTGCTACGAATGTTAGACAGAAAGGTGATTAAGGTTCGGCGATGTTGGGCAGGTGCTGCTGACACCATATCAAAAAAATTGAAATGACCATAACTCGGTCATTTCCTGGTCGATCTTGTCCGAAATTGGTGGAGGGGAATCCCCTCCAGTTTCCGCGTTCTTCGGTCGAGAAAGAAGGGACCATAAAAATGAAGACGTCGGCGGGACTCGAACCCGCAGCCTTAGAGTTATTTTGCTATTAATGGATTTCGCCATTGATTAACACGATCCTAGAAGCTCTATGCGCTAGCCATTGCGCCACGACGCCATGTCGTTCCTATGTAAGTGACTTTGCGTAGATATTGCTATTAAAAGATCTCCGGCTTTTTTAACAGCCTCATCGCCATCTGAACACATTTGTTCTCCTCAAAAGGCTGGCTGCACAGACTCGCCCAGCTGGACAGAGAGCAACGACACTGAATTTCGTATAGAACTGTCACGAACAGGGAGATATGGCGAGGCCAAAAAAGTGTGAGGAGAGCGTGCATCAGCTGCGGCCAAACCAACCACCGAGCCAGCCCTTTTTCTTGGCGGCAGCTTCTGCCTCAAGTCGTGCCTCGTCCTCTTCAGCGAGCGCATTACCTGGATCGTAAGCCAAGGAGACGTCGCCTGCTCCGTCTTCTTCTTCGTCTTCCTCCTCTTCATCTTCGAGATGTTCGACCTCGTCCTCCACGTCGGCTTGCTTCTCTTGCACAGCTGGCTTTGAGGCGGCGGGCTGAGCTTTGGGGGCCTCTTTGACGGGCTTAGCCGCAGGCACCGCAGCCGATTTAGCCTTGGCAGCCCTGTGCTGAGGCTTGGAGACAGGGTTGAGCGCAGCCTGCTGTTGTTGCTCGTACTCGACCTTGACATCCTCAGGCACACGCTGAGCTTCCTGAAGCGAGACAGGATCAAAGTCGATATACTTTCGTGCAATGTCCTGCAAAGCTTGGCTAGCGCGGGAGTCGGACATACCTGCCTTGCCCTTTGCCTGAGACTTGCCTTTGCTGGAACCACGCTGGTGATGCTGTTGAGCCTCGAGGAGCGACTTCTGAACGTCTCGCTTCAGACTAGCAAGGGCCTCGTCCGAGTGGTCAAACACAGCATCAGAGCCGCTGCTCGACTTGAGACGGGGCGGGAAGTCGGCATCCTCTTCGTCAACGTCTTCAGCGAGCTCGGCAGCCTGTCGAGCCTGTCGAATGTAGAGCTGGGCTCGAGAGAGGAGAAGAATGGCTTTGGCGTGGGCGCCTGAAAGCGAGAATGCGCGAGCGAGGTGACGCAGGATCTCGCTGCGGAACCAAGCTGCCTTGGCCTCGACAAGGCTTGAAACGTCGGGCTCCGATTCGATGAGCGCAATCGAGCCCATGGCGACCAGACTTGTCTCCGCAGCGTCGAGTAGTCTGGCGAGCGACGGAACAGCTCGAGCGCCGCGACGCTTCGACTTCTGTGCAGCGATAGCACGAGCTCGATTCTCTCGAGCCAAACCTTGACGGGTTCGAAGCTTCCTGGTACCGCTTCTGGCAGGCTTGCGAGCATGCGAGCGGGCGTTTGAGCCAGACTTTTTGGCGCGTGATCCGGACGACTTCTTACAAGAAGCGGCTTTCTTGGCCGCAATCGCTTCGTCGAGCTTCTGTTGCTTTCCCTTGCTACGTTTGCCTCGCTTCTGAGCAGCAGAGCCAGAAGCGATCTTGCCCTTGAGACGAGCTTCGACGCCGGACATGGCACGCTTTTCACGCTTCTCAGCTCGCTGCTCGACCTCGGCGACGAGACGCAAGTTACGCCAGACACGGAGAGCCAGTAGGCGGTAGAAGATAAAGTCGTGAGCAGTCTGAAGATCTTTGCTGGCGGTTTCGTACCTGGCCGAGTGGCTCTTGGAGAGCGCCTCGGCGTTGTCCTCGACGAGTTTGCGTGCGACATCCTCGGCATCGGTGAAGGCGCTAAGGGCTCGGTCGAAGGGGTCGAGTTCGGTGCGTCCGGCTTTTCCAAGTCGCACGGTTGACGTGGAAGCGTTGCGGGCACCGCCGGCGGATGACTCTCCCTGGGCGATCTCGCGCTTCTTCGCCTTGCGCTGAGCATGCGACAGTCGAACACGCTTGCCGTCCTTGTGCTCTGCAGCAGCCTCCTTGTTGTTCTTGCGGCTGGTCGAAGCGCCTGTGTTGGCATCTCGGTCGCCCACAGCCTCGACCATGACTGATTCTCGAAGGGCAGCCTCTTCGGACTGAGCGGCCACGATGGTGTCAAGCAGCTCAGGGTTACGCACAGGAATTTGGTGTCCGTGCCAGCTGAGGGAGAGTGTCTGCTTCTGACCAGAGCCAGCCTTGGCCTTGGCGGCTGTCAGCTCTTCGATGAGCTCCGTATACTCGGGCATAATCTGACTGCAAAGCTCGGGTGTGGCGGTAGAAGAAGCAATCTTGTCCATGTCCTGCTCCGAGTTGCCGAGCTGGTAGGCAGAGTAGCGCATCTGAGCCTCGCCAGCATCAACGAAGCTGTTGGCGAGCGCCTCAGCACGGCTCGCGGGGCTGTTAGTGGCGATAGCATTGAGCAAGTTGCGGCCTACGGAAAGCATCTGGAGGGCCTTGTCCCACTGTGAACGATCGAAAGCGGCGGTGGCCTTGATGTTGAGCAGGTAAGCAGCTGTCTCAGCGCGAGAGTAGACATCAAAACGTTTGGACAGAGCTTGAACGAGCTGTTGCAGGGAGCTGGACCACTGTTCGGCACGTCGCAGCCTAGAGATGCCACGCTTGCGAAGCTGAGGGTTGGACTCATCGTCAAAGGCTTCCGATCGAAGCTCCTGCGAGTAAGCCCAGGCTCTTTCGGCCTCGAAAAGGAGAAGTTGAGCGGGTCGTGCATCATTGGCCTGAGCTACGTTGAGCTTCTTGGCAGTGAAGATGTTGCCCTGACCTTTGGCGTTGGCGCTCTGAGCAGCTGCCTGTTGGGCCTTCTTAGGCTTCTTGCCACGAGCTGCCTTTGCGGTCTTGGACTTCTTCGTTTCCTTCTTGTGCAAGCCGTCGGAGTGGGTCAGAGAAAGAAGTTCGCGGAGTCGATGCGTCTTGGAGGCGCAGTATCGTCGGTAACGAGCAAAGTCTTGCTGTCGCATTCCGTGTTCGTTGCGAGCCTCGCTGATGAGCTGAAGCAGAGGGAAGGTGATGAGGTCGCCCCCTGCCTGAGACGCTTGGTCTCGGTTGGACAGATCGGTCTCCATGGTGATGCTATGGACCGTCTGATCAACGGAGAGGTGATACGTTAAACAATATTTGGTAGTGATAGAAGTGAAGACGTGAGATGGAGCTTGACAGTATCGATGTTCGTCTTTGGTGTGATGCTCGCCTGACCTTCCACCAATTTCGGAGCCGATCCGTGCCATGTTAGACCTTGCCTTGAAATTTTGATGTTGGTTCCGACGGCGTAACACCATTTCACCACTCGCCCAGTCTTGGCTCTCCGCAGTGGTATCACGGTTTGCTGTCGGACAGTGGCAAGGTCAGCATGCGCCTCATCCTTACTATATCATGGGGTCTGGCGGTCCATGGTGTGCTCGCTAGGGAGCAAGCTTTCAGGCCGAAGCTGCCGGTTTTGATGTTCTATCGGCCGTATGAGACCAATCGACTTTCGAGTCCCCGCAACGGTTAGGGAGAAGCATGATCCACCCGAGGCTGGTAGAGAGGCGTCGTTGGTGTGCCGGATAACTTAGTCAGGGTCGCAAGCAGCAAGCTGCTTCGATATGCATGAGCGGACGGCGAATTCTTCAGTAGTGACACGTTCTCATTTCTTCTCAGCACGGGCCAAGAAAGCACATTTAGACAGCCGAGCGAACGTGGGGGTCCTAAAAAGCTGCAAGACGAAAGCCTCCTTGTCACGCTCTGCAACCGGTCCTGCCTCTCGAGTATCCGCCGATTTCGAGCTTCCACTTTAGCAGCCTATCCGGCCTTCCACCGTCCTGTTTCTTGTTCTGAACAGCTGTGTGGCTTGCGTTAGCGTCGCATGTTTTCTTGAAAAGAAAGAGTTAGAAGAGAGCCCGCAAGGACAGCGAGTAAGAGCACTTTGAAAGGGCTGACCGGGAATGACAGGTTTCTTGAACAAGAAGAGTAGCCTTGTCTGCATGATTGTGACAGACAGCAGCTTGTGCAGCCGGTACGTCCATCTTTGCCGACCATGCTTTGCTTGAACTTAGATTCTGCTGCACGTTCTCAGCTCTTGCATGTCGTCTGCTTGCTTTACGCTGCCTCCACCGAGCTTGGTATCCAGCAGCCACATCTAGAGAAAGCTTTGAGTTATTTCAGCCGCTCGAAGCTCTGTGTCGCTTGCGGCTCTTAGACGGAAGAATTCTCGAGTCTTTTCAGACCGAGGGAACAACTTTTGTGATCCCTGAGAGCCTTTCCGTTCTGTTTCCACTGCGTTTGTCCGTTTCGGCTAACGATCCGCCAGCTGTGCGGTTCATCTTTCGCCTTTGTTGGGGCTGGCTAGCGTAGCATTCACACTTCCTCAAGACATACTCACATCTCGTCTACTGAGCTTGTTAAAAATCAGAGAATCGCTGGAGCTGTATGAGGTGTGGGCTCTGCCGTCTTGGTCGAGGGCAACACGACGTCGACTCTCAGAACCTTGTCCAGGGCTGACAGAAGGAGAATCGTGAATCAAGCAACAATGCTTCATGTTGCTTCGACTGGCTTGTGCGTGCAACTTGACTGCGAAGACTGGTTCGTTCTCTGTTTGAGAGGCAGCTGCGTCAAAGGAGTCCACCTCATGCAGAGTGAAAGTGTCAAACGTTCACAACTGTCTGGGGGAAGACTGCATCCTAGCCCTAACCTGACTGCTGCTTTGCGTGTGTTGCTTTGCAAGCTTCTGTCCAGCGCAGCTCACAGGACCGCAGAGTTCTGTCCCAGGAGGTGTTTCGTCCCGGAACGTTCACAGAGTGCACTGCGAGTCAATACATCGCCACTGACGGACCGAGCCGTGCGCTCGGGCCTGCGTGTGCTATACGGTCCTTGTACAAAGGTGCACACGTAGCGTAACGATGGTGCTCCTCTTAAGAAGGACGTCCAGAAGGTGTCGCTCTTCTGACTTTGATGACCACCATCACCTTCACCGTGTTTGTCCCCTTCCCTGGGCCGCGTTCAACCCAACTTGTCTCCGTCACAGCTCAACGCTGCGATTCCTCCATCCCCCTTCACCCCGCTCGAGCTGCGCTTCGCTTCCCTGCCTGTTCGGAATTGTACCAATCCCTGCTCTCCGCTACGGTTCCACTGTAGCTGAAGCTTGGGTAGTAGTGCAAAGACTCCGTCACGGAATTAG